AGAGTGCTTGTCTAAGAAGTGCAGTACCCTGGGTTCCATTCTTAGCTCTGAAAAAAGCGCCCCCCCATTTATTCTCCTCAGTTCCAGAGGGCAGATGTATGGATTCAGTGTCAGTAGCATCACATGTCCCAGAAAGCTGAGCAGGACAGTGTGTGTGTGTGTGTGTGTGTGTGTGTGTGTGTGTGTGTGTGTGTGTGTGTGTATCTCATGCAACTCTACTAATTTGTGGGGGCACTGACAATTATTTGCAGACCTTGGCTTGTGGCTATCTTGTATCTGTCTCAGTCTTCATATCATCTTCTTTCCTGAGGCCCCGTGTCTTCCCTTATAAAGGCAACAGTCGAGGGGTGTACCTAAATTCAGGGTGATCTCACCTCAAGAGCATTAACTTGATCTGCCAAGGCCTAGTATCCAAATAAGATCACATTCACAGGTACTGAGGGGGGACTCATGCATATCTTTCCGAGAGATAATATTCAGTCTATAAAAGTTGAAAAAAAAAACAACAAAAAACAGTCATTGGAGTAAGCAATATACTTTATTTTTGCCATTGAAGCATTCCCAGGTTCTGGGGTCTATCTGTTTGAACAGTTTAATTTATGGAAACAATGCAAATTCTTCTTTGCTGCTGCCCCGAACTCATAGGTATTTAAGCTGCTGGTGGCACAGAGCCCCCTTATTGTGTGGTGTGGCCTTACCCCTTCCGTAGACAGGATGCCTATGACAAAGGCTGGAAGGCGGTGCCTGTCCACTGAGGCTCATTCCCTGTTAATTTATTTTCCTTTTAGAAAACAAACAAAACAGGATTAGTCATTTTATTTTCTAGGACAATGGCATTACTTCTCTTCTAAAAAGTATGATATTTAGTAAGGAAAGAATAAAGAACATTTACAACATTGAACAGCGAAATTGCATATTTAGGCATTGTGATGGAGCAGAGGAAAGTTTATTTAGAATTATATCTGTCTTCCCCCCCCCACTGTTAGGACAGTTTACAAAAATAACCACAAAACATCTCCCATATCATTTCCACAACTGAGAGTGAAACCGTGGTCCAAATAGCACGCCTACCCCTTCATGCTTGCTTAGCATATGGTATGAATCACCCTTTCCAGTTTGTAGGTTGGCAACAAGTCTGTTTTAGCCCAGGTCCCTGGAAACTCTTAGTGGAGTTCCCAGTAAAAGAATAGTAACAATAGTTAAAGACATTCCACAGTAGGAAGTCAGCTGTCTATCAAAACAGTGGTGGTGGGGCACTGCATATAGAAGGTTTCCTTCTATGAACTGGATGATGTGGATTTCTGATCAGCTCACCCTGGGTGAGAGAGATCCACTGGAGAAGGCAAGGTCTTTTGATCTTCTTTTAGCTCAACTTGATCCTGTGTCTGCTCTACAATTCTATACCAGATAATCCTCAAGATGTATGGCAAATAGGAAAGGACTTGAAAGATAAGCTGTTAGCTCAGTACAGAGACCTATTATCTCATCTTAACAGAAAAAAAAAACCATCAGAGATGCTCCAATGAGAAAACCAAAAATAACCAATGGTATTCAAGATAGAACTGAGCTTGTGTTTTCCTACATCTAGCAGGACTCCACCATAGATACTTATACGTGCATCAGTGAGATGAAAATGAACTAAAACATATTATTTGGTTTACAAGGTGTGGTGGTTTAAATGAGAATGGCCCCCAGAAGCTCATATATTTGAATTCTCGGTCCTTAGCTGGTGGAACTGTTTGGGAAGGACTAGGAGGTGTGGCCTTGTTGAAGGAAGTTCATCTCTGGGAGTGAGGCTTTGAGGTTTCAAACAGCCCACACCATTGCCAGTTAGCTTTCTGCCTAGCACTTGTGAATCAAGAGGTAAGCTCTGAGCTACTGCTAGCCACACCTGCCTGCCTTCTTCCTTGCTTCCCACAAAGTTTGGTCATAGGCTCTAACCTTCTGGAATTGTGAGCTCCCAAAGTAAATGCTTTTTTTTATAAGTTGGTCCTGATGTCTTGTCACAACAATAGAAAAGTAACTAAGACACAAGGGGAAATTGTTGTCACAAGTAACTATATCTATGTTAGTTTTTCATTGCTGTAACCAAACACCAGAGGAAAACAATTTAGGGACAGAAAGTTAATTTTGGTTAATTACTTCAGAAGTTTAAGGGTTGGTGACTCACACTATGACTTCTAATCCAAGGGTTAAGTCCCTGAAGGATGCTTAGTATATCTGGGTGTCTGAAATTGATGGCTAGTACCAAGGGCATTTCTTTAATTTTCTTTTGAGATTTATTCATCTTATTATTTGATGTGTATGAGTGCTTTGCATGTATGTATGTGTATGATGTGTGTGCCTGGTGTCCATGGCAGTCAGAGGAGGCCCTCTGATTTCCTGGGTCTGGAGTTACAGGTGGTTGTGAGCTGCCATGTCTGTGCATGCTGGGGACTGAACTTGGGTCCTCTGCAAGAGCAACAAGGACTTTTAATGCTGAGTCAATTCTCCAGCCCCAAAGGATGTTTCTTGTATAATAAACTCATTTAGATATCTTGCATCCTTTCTAAGATTTTGTTCCATTTGATAATCAGAAATATTAAACCTGCATTGGTTCATGAGACAAAGGATTCCAGTTTCTGAACAAACGAGAGACTACTGGTGACTCACTAATCTAGCAGCAAGCCCGAGTCTCCTCTCAAAGTTGCTGAAGGCATTGTCTTATGAAAAATCCATAGTATTTTTCTGCACTTTTGTTTATAGGAGCTGCTTTGACTGCTTGCTTGTATCCCCAAATCAACTTGGTGAGACGGGGAGAAATTACAGATACCTCAATTTTGCCATTTAAAAAAATTATTATTGTATGGCCAAAGGGTCATGTTGGAACTCAGAAAACAATTCTACAAAGCATTGTATTTTGGCATGTTGAGAATTTGACCTGCTGGAGAATGGAAGTCCTCAGTGATTGTCTCGTGGCTTCTGTCTCCTGTCAACTCTTTTGCTGAGCTCCCCTGAATTAATTCACAGAAGTAATAATTCTTTTCTAAGGCAAAACAGAAGTCGTGGGGTTGGGAGATGACTCAGTAGTTAGGAGCACTCCTTGCTCTTTCAGAGGACACAGGTTCTATATATCCGCACACACTGTGTGGCTCATAACCACTTGCAACTTTACCTCCAGGAGGATCTAATGCTTCTGGCTCTGTGAGGACCTGCACTCATATGAACACATTTACACACACACACACACACACACACACACACACACACACACACACACAAAATCTTTTTTAAAAGTAAAAGAAAAAATCCACAGAAATTAAAAGGGCCACTCCTTAACTTTAACATCTTTGTTGCAGGGGAATTCTGCTCCATACCCAGGAGAAAGGTATGCTGCACAGAGAGGTAAAAAAATCTGAGTATACAGGCCTCGATGGTCCCCTCTCACGTACCATTATCAGACCACACCCCTTTGTCTAATCCCACTTCTGGGTAATTCCCCATTCTTCACTGAACATAAGCAAACAATGAGAGAGTTTCCCTTTGTGTCGTCAATTTTGAAGTCTCTATGTCATGTAAAACCTCCATCACGTAGAGTTTGGTATGCCATTGCAGTCTCTGTGCAGTCCAGAACAGTCTTAATCCTACTGCCTCATTACTCATAGTCTGGGATTACAGGTGTAAAATCACAGATTACAAGCCCATTTTAATCTTTGTTGTAAGAATGTCACCAGCTTTATGAGGGATGTGATGGGCATCAGATCATTGAACCTCTACAGTCAGAACTGACCAGACTGTGGTTTATACTTGGCTAGAGTTGGTCACTAAAGTTTTATTTCTCAACCCTATTCATTTATATAATCTTTTGAGTGACCTAAGACATATAGTATGCCTATGCTAGAGAGACGGCTCAGTCAGTAAGAGCATTTGCTGCTCTTACAGAGGATGGGAAATCTATTTTAGCAGCCACATGGGATAGCTCATAATTGTCTGTAACTACAACTTGAGTGGATCTGACACCTTCTGACCTCCATAGGCCTTTTCACATACATGTGCACACACACACACATTTTCTAGTTGTGCTGGGGTGTGACTTAGTGGCAGGCCACTTGTCTAGCATGTTTGAGACTTTGGATTTTATCCTTAACACTGCAGTCAACCAATAAATTGGTCAGCCAGCTAATGGGTGTGATGGTGAACATTGATTCCAACATTCGGGTGTCTGAGACAGGAGGATTTTGAGCTTGAGGCCTGGACTACATAGTGAGACCCTATCTCAGAAACAGGGCTGTGGACGTAGCTCAGTTAGCAGAGTTTTTGATTAGTGTGCATAGGGTCCTGGGTTCAATCCCCAGTACCAACATAAACTAGGTTTGGTGGTACACACTTGCAACCCCAGCACTTGGGTGGTGGGAGCAAGAGGATTAGGCAGGAACCCCAGTCAACCTCCATCAAATCACAAAGGAGTACATATCCTAACCCACATCTGTGCTATCCCCCACAAAGCCCAAAATAGGACAACACAAACCAATGGGAAGAAACAGCAATAAATGAAGCCAGAGGCTAAACCTGGAAAATATCAGAGGATGCCCCGCCCAGCCCGCCTCCACACAAAGCCCTGCCTTGGGCCTAGGCACTCCTGGATCTGTAGCAGAACATTCCAATCCTCCTAGGCCTCCGCCCAGCATGGGGCTCAGCAGCATTGAAGACAGGTTATGCCTTAACCCTTTAGCTTCCCCACCGGCTCATAACCTTTCTCTGATCACTCTGCTCATGAATGAAAAAATCTCAGTGGCCCGCCCTTTGCCGTGGGACAGTAAAGGCCTGAAAGAGGCCTACCAGGGAAATGTGCGAACGTAGAGCTCAAACTCAGGGAAGAAAAAAAAAGGTTTGCGGGGTATCTCTGGGCCACCCCGCTTCCCTCTCAGATCCTGGGGCGGAGCCCTCAAAAGAGGCCCCTTCGGACATCCCGCCCCCTGCTCGGCCTCCTCCTTCTCCCACCGCGGGAGATGCCAACTCCGCCCGGCTGAGTCACGGCCTGAGCTGCGGAGGAGGCGGGGAAAGTCGGCCCTAGCCCAGATCGCAGCCATCGGCCACAAGGAGAGCAGGCTGGGTTGTCAGAGATCATGGGGGAGAGCGCGCTGGAGTCGGGGCCTGTGCCCGGGTCGCCGGGTGGGGGCCCAGTGCACGCCGTCACCGTGGTGACCTTGCTGGAGAAGCTGGCCACCATGCTGGAGGCGCTGCGAGAGCGGCAGGGTGGCCTGGCTGAGAGGCAGGGCGGCCTGGCGGGCTCGGTGCGCCGCATCCAGAGTGGCCTGGGCGCACTGAGCCGCAACCACGACACCACCAGCAACACACTGGCGCAGCTGCTGGCCAAGGCGGAGCGCGTGGGCTCTCACGCCGACGCAGCCCAGGAGCGGGCGCTGCGCCGCGCTGCTCAGGTGCAGCGGCTGGAGGCCAACCACGGGCTGCTGGTGGCGCGCGGGAAGCTGCACGTCCTGCTCTTCAAGGTCAGTGACCTTAGGCATCCCCTAGTCCCCGCCTCTAGGCCACCACTTTGGGGGCTCCCGCCTTCCAGCGGTCCACCATCTCTACCTTCCTGACCCTACACGCCCTCAGCTGTGGAACAAACCCTGAGCCGCACCCACTTCTCACTTCCTACTTCGCGGCCGTATCCCTCTCTCACTCCCAGTCTGGCCAATCCGCGCCCTCCTCGCTATAGCTCAGGCCAGTCTGCACATTTGCTCAGTACCAACCACATGAAAATAACGGTTGTGGCGTTTCGGTGCCTCTTCCAAGCGCCCATATGGCTGTTGTCTTGTTTGACACCTTACAGGGTTTCATCTACTTTGCAAATTTGCGCTGCCTACTCTCCCCTTTCCCTGCTCATCCCTCTGCTCCCCCGGGCCCCATCTTCCCATTTGGCTCCAAGTCCCCGCACAGAGGCAAAGGGTGGAGTAGCTTCCTTTGGTGTAACTGAGGGGAGAGTTTCAGGCAGGCTCTGGCTAAGTGCCTGCCAGAATCAAAGTTATGTCGTCACATTCAGGAGGAGACTGAAATCCCAGCCCGCGCCTTCCAGAAAGCACCAGAACTCTTGGGCCCTGAGGACCAGTCGGTGCTGGGCCCAGAGCAGCTAGAGGATCAAGTTGGCGAGAGTTCAGACGAGGAGCCAGTGGAATCCCGGGCTCAGCGACTGCGACGCACCGGTTTGCAGAAGGTTCAAAGCCTAAGAAGGGCTTTTTCCAGTCGTAAAGGCCCGGAAGCAGCACTGCCCACACCAGTCAAGCCGCCACGCCTAGGGCCTGTGCGGAGCTCTGAAGGCCCACCAGATGGCCAGCCTGCAGCTCAGCCAGCTGTGCCGGAGTCCTCACTAGAGTCTGCTCTGGAGCCAGAACCTCCTCAGGCTACTAATGAAGATCCTGGGAGGCCTGCTCTTCAAATAGAGAGTGCAGCCTGATTTCTGGAGCTGCCCGCCCCACTTGGTGCTTATGCCTTGTCCTAAAATAAATCCTTAAAGCGTGCAGCACTTACACCCAAATAAGGAGAAAATCCTGCATCAACTGCCCAGTTCCCATCCTCCCTTCCTGGCCTTCCAGTCTGGTACCTTATGTCCTCCGAAAGAGGCGCATTCAACCTAATTTAGGCTCACCAGCAATAAAAATAATTTCTTGTAACCCAGACTCCATGTGAAAGGGCGAGGATGGGCTTGGGGGTGGGGAAGGCAGGAGGAGGGGTAAGTGTGATGGAGCCTGGAATGGGTTGAATGGCAAATGTTTCTCACTTTTCACTGAATCCTGGGTCTCCAACATTGCCACAGAGAAATACGCTGCTGGCCACTTATAGCTTAAGCACTTTCCTTGTGGGGACATACATGTAAGTGAAGTTTTGGGCCCTGCTAGGGGATGCTGTACAGTTCTTTGATGAAAACGCCCAGTTAAATGTCAACCAATGCTTTCCCATTTAGTCTCTTTGACATCCAACATTACTTATAAGTTGAGGTTTACAGGGATCTTTAGTCAGGCGTGTTTCCACTCTTCCTGCTTCCAGTGATGATCACTCCGAGGTCTCTCCTAGTAGCCACACACAACCCAGGCCATTGGGGTGAGGCATGGTTGAAAAGCAATCCAAAAGTAACCCTTGGTCTACTTATGTTCTCCTGCCAAAGCCAAAACACACAAACCACTCATTGTTTTCAAAAACAAATGAGTAACCTCATAGGTTGAGTCTAGGCCACTTAGAACTGAACATCTCTCACAAAGAGACAGCATGATGAACTGACTTCATAAGTGAAATGAATAAAACAGACTTCACAGTTTTCATGTCATTGCATAAAAAATATGATCTAGATGGTTTTTAGATTTTTGATACAGTTTGAATCTGAAATGTCCTCTGAAGGCTCATTGCTGGCAGCTTGGTTGCAAGCTTTGTGTGTGTGTGTGTGTGTGTGTGTGTGTGTGTGTGTGTGTGTGAGAGAGAGAGAGAGAGAGAGAATGGGTTCTGATTTAATAAGTAGATTAAGTCCTTGATGGATCCTTAGTATGTCATCGTTATTGGGAGATGGTGAAAATTAAGAGGTGAGGCTTCGTTGGAGAAAGTAGGTCACTGGGTGTGTGCTCCATACAGATGGATGCTTTATTGGCTGTCTGTTTCCTGGCTGCTATGAGGCGAGCAGCCTCAGACAGATATGCTTGCTGCCATAATCTGCCTCATTTCAGGTCAAAAGCCATCTCCCTAACCCCCATTAAAATTTTTTTCTTTGGTTTTTCGATACATACATGGCTTCTCTGTAGCTTTGGAGGCTGTCCTGGAGCGCACTCTGTAGATCAGGCTGGCCTTGAACTCACAGAGATCTGTCTACCTCTACCTCCCAAGTGCTGGGATTAAAGGCATGCACCACCACCGGCTAAAAATTTTTAAAATCAAATTATTTCAGTACTTGATACATAATAGAATAAATAACTGCAGTGTTAATTCTTCTTTGGAGGTGTACATCATGTCAGTTTCCGTGAACTTTGAAATATTTTGGAATATTCAATTGTTCACCATCATTTTGTGGACACTTCCATATCTAGCACGATCCCAGTCATAATACCAGTGGGCATGTCAGGGGGAGGTTATCTAACACCTCTTACTTTCTTCTTTCTTCTTCTTTTTCCGTTATTTTGAGACAGGGTTTCTCTGAGTAACAGTGCTAGCTGTCCTGGAACTCACTCTGTAGATCAGGCTGGACTGGAACTCACAGAGGTCCATCCACCTCTGTATCCTGAGTGCTGGGGTTAAAGGTGAGTGGCACCACTACCCGGCTAACTACCTTTTAAGGAAAATGGACTGTGTGGAAGCCCAGGTGCTTCAAATAGCTGAAGCTTGGCCCTACTTGGCCAGGTAGGGCAGTAGTGCAGTAGTTTGTTCTTGGCGTCTGTCTCTGGTGATACAGATCGCAGCTGACCTATACACATCTGGTGAAGCTGCTGTGGGTGCCGTGACTAGATTTGAGGACTGGCTGAGGCACCAGTGGGTGCTTCTAGATCAGACGGCCCATGCAGAGGATGTGCAAGTGACTGAGGGACAGCATGTTATCTTATGTCATCTATGTGACAGAAGTTGCCCAGTGACTCGGAGTTTGTTTCTGTCATATTAAAAAAGGAGGAAGCAAACACATGCATTACATCACTATACATGTGTGGAGGTTAGAGGACAACTTTTAATAGTTGTCCTCCACTGTGAGAATTGAATTCAGGTCATCAGCCTTATGTGATGTATATTTTTACCCACTGGTCCATCCTTGGCCCTCTGTTTTCTAATTTAAAACATTTTAAAGGTTTATTTTATGTATTTTTCAGGCATGTATGTGTACCACATGTATGCCTGGTGCCCATAGAAGCCAGAAGAGGTCATTGGATCCCCTGGAACTGGAGTTCCAGATGGTTGTAAGCCACCATGTGGGTGCTGGGAACTGAACCCAGGTCCTCTGCAAGAATCACGAATGCCTTTAACTGCTGAGCCATCTCCCTAGCTCCTATATTCTTTTATAATTTTTGATTAAGTTCCATTACAGAACAACAGTCATTTAGTGAGTACCTACTATGTGGCAGGCCCTGCTGGGTAAAGTTCAGAATCTCTCTGTCTCCTGAGTTTTCTATACTAATGGCACCATCATTTGCATAGAAACCTGAGCTTTCTGTTGGTTAAATGATTCTGTCACGCCTCCCACAAGGAAACAGTTATCATGGACTGGGCCTCAACAGAATGACTCCCTTTTAAAGCTCTTATCCATGGCCTTTTGAGTCCTCCTTTCACCTGACCAGGGTTAACTGCCAGTCCGGCCACACCAGACTCCTGACTCACACACTCAGTGTCTCTCATCACCTTCACAAGAAAGCTTTTCACCCCTTTCCTGAAGTCCTCTTGTGCCTTGGCCCCTCTGTCTCTGGCTGTGTGAGCACTGAAATGATGCCATATGTGGGAAATTTCACACCTGACCTCATGTGACAGGTCGGTGTGATCTGGGAGCGCAGGTGCACCAAATATCTTGTATAAAAATTCCCTTCAGGCTATGTATATAAAGTGCGTGAACACATAAACATTTGGGCTTGGAGTCCATCCCCAAGAGCTCTCATTGTGTATACGTGCAAGTGCTTTATTGCAGAATCTGGGATCCAGAAGACGTCTGCTTCTAAGCATTTTGGATAAGGGATACTGAACCTGTGTTGTCTTAGCTACATGCTCTCAGTCTCACCTCCTGCAAAACTCAGCAAGGCACATCTGTTTCCTCCTTGCTCCCAAAGCACCACGTGTCCAGCCCTCAATTCTCTAGTGACCCGATTGTGGTTGTGGTTCTACCTCATCCCTCTACACAAGACTGTGACAACTTTGCACTAGACACTGTTTTACTTATGGTTTTGTGTTGCTAATGCCCCTTTTGACCACTTGGTGTCACTATTGGGGTACCAGTGTCCTAGTTGGTGCTTCATATCCTCCCCTACCCCATTTAATTTGATTTTCCAGGGATGGGGCAGTTGGCAGACTCTGAGTTTGTGGGTCTGGGGCACAGGGATGCTTTCAAAATGGGAAACCAGACCAGAGGCTCCTGCAGGCTCCCAAACCTTCGTATTCACATCACCCTGGCTTTATAGCTGCTATTGTTTTTAAGAGTCTGCCACCTCGAAAGGACTGGGATGAGCAAGGTGGGCTTTATATCTCCAAGAAAAAACAAAGTCTTGTTATAGTGGCACAGATTAAGATACACGGGACTAGGTTAAATACAGGTTAATTTTATGCGGGGAGAAGTCACTTACATAAGAAACCGATGACCCGCAAGTTCCAGCTCCAAGGATCCACACCCAGGCTGCTCTCTGTGACCCGATGGGAACCAAGAGGGAGAAAACCTGTCCTGGACCCTAGACCAAATACCACACACTCACATACGCACCTATGACCAAACAGGTGTGGTCAGCGTCACAGGTGAGGCTGGTTGGATCTCTCTCTACATCTTGTCTTTTCAAGTCCCTAGGAATCCACCTGGTTTCCCTCCTTCAACCAATGAACAAAAGGAACATTTTGCACATAAAATAGCTAGGTCTAGAAACTTCTAGAAAGACTTGGCAAACTTCCAAGGGAAGGTGGAATGTTACTTTTTATTCCTTCTCTACTGGTCTACAGTAGCAAACAACTGGATCAAGTTGAAACAAAATTAGTTCTATTTTTCAATAGCACTTTGTCATATTATCTTCTCAATTGTCACAACTATAATAATTGTTAGCATAATTATGAATTCAAGGGCAAGGAGACACAGACAGCACCAGCTGTCTGATAGTACAGCATGGACATGGCTGATGGATCACTACATTTCAGAGGTTGATTCCCAGCTCGTTGGGCCAGAAATGGAAATTTATTCGTCGACTCAGCATGGTTGGCTGATCTGAAATAGCAAAACTCAAAAAAGATTGATTAACTTGAGTTCTAGTTTCATTAATTTCCTTACAAAATCTAACTGCCAAGTAAGGAGAGCAGCCCAGACAGAATGTTTTTCATCCTGCCACAGAACATATAAGGGAAACCAGACAGATCTTAGAGTGTGTGAAGATAAGTAAGGTTACCAAACCTGTTTTCTGATATGACATGTCTCCTACAGCAATAAAGAATACCTGCATTCATGATAGGGAATTTCTTCTCTGGGTAAATACAAGGAATCCTTCCAGCTTTCTTTTGTTGGAAGTGGAGGGCTCATAACCTCAGCCATGAAGACCCCCCAAAGCCAGCAGTTCCTGCCAGGTGGTGGTGGTTCTCATCTTTAATCCCAGCGCTCAGGAGGCAGAGGCAGGTGGATCTCTGTGAGTTTGAGACCAGTCTGGTCTACAAGAGCTAGTTCCAGGACAGTCTCCAAAGCCACAGAGAAACCCTGTCTAGGAAAAAAAGCCAATGGTTCCACTAAAGTGTCTTGTTCAATCTTGTCTATTATTAGCTGGTCTGTATTTGAAAAAGCTCAGGGTCCATGAACTTACTATCTTCCCCGGCAGCTCTATTTTTAGATATTGTAATGAATGGTGATGGTTAGTTTTTTTGTCAACCTGGCACAGATAGAATAATTTGGGAAGAGAGAACCTCAGCTGAGACTGGACTATAGGCAAGTCTGTGGGATCACATTCTTGATTAGTGATTGATGGGGGATGACCTA